CAGAGGATAAGAAGAGACTCGAGAATGAGTCTGTCCTCGACGACAGAGAGGACATACACTGTAAGGATGAGGTGGATGAACACATGGAAGACCTAACTGAGCATTCTCAGTGCAATAATTGCCACGACGGATGCCATTGATCATGCCCACCATACACCCGCGACAAATTGCATGTCGATTGCAGGCCAAAATGAAGGAAGAACGGTCACCAGAAAAGAGCATGCATTCAGTATAGCGCCCATGGCCGCAAAATGGACATACAGTGTCCGGATGCGGAGGGTGCCTGCAGTCAGGAACGGTGGGACAGTCCTCTTCACACATGGATGCAGAAACCATGTCATCGTGGTGATTGTGACAGAGACGATGGCGCCTACAGCCGAGCGTAACAGTGTTTGTGGCTGTGCAAAGGAGAAGGTCACAGAGTGTTGGTACATTGTCTTGCTGCAGCACAGGGCCAGAGGAATGATCTTCGACATGAAAGAGAGCGAGGATGATTTGCTGTGGCAAGAAAACAGCATCATTTTGTAAGAAATCAGTGACATCAATCATGGCATGGACCATGGTGCCGTTGTCCCACAGCTCCCAGTGGTCAGAGGCATGTACAATGGCCATGTAATGGCCAGGGCCGTGCACAATGCAGGCAAAGATGTGGGATGGAGGATTAAACCACCCACCTGCTCGAGAATTGCGTAGTTCAAGTTGACGGTCCCTCATTGCTACTTGTAGGACAGCAATGGTAAAGCCTCCTTCGCTGGTATACTTACAATCCTCTGGCTGTAGTTGGGGAAGATCAGCATCAAGCTGAAGGGCGACTGCAAGGAATTCTGATGGTGTACAAAATGGGCGGTGGAGAATGTGAAGACAGATGTTAGTTGCCGTCAGACCCCAGAGATTGGCGAGGTTCTCAGGCTGGTTTGTTGGATGCTGGCCAACAATTTGCAGATCAACCAGATGGTGTTGCAAGGCCAAACTGTGTTGGGTTGTTTGCAGGTCAGGCATTTGCAGACCACCCATGTGGTCTGCGTGTGGCGGAGCACAAAATTGTGGTTCATACCAACAATGCTGGTCAGCCATTTGCATATATATAGTCAAACAGAGCTGCCTAAACCGTAGGCAGAGAGGGAGGGGGAGAAGAGGACAACAAACGAGGGGCTGTGACAAACTGTTTCGTTGGAGTTCCACCGACTCATCAGGAGGCTGAACCCTCAACAGTCTGTAGAATCCCCTAACTGATTACACTGTAAGTGATAATCCACCTTAACCCCGGCTGTGGTTGAGCATCAACGACTGCCCGACAACTGATACCCTGAGGTGGTGCCCTCAAGGTACCTGTGGCAAAAGTCAAAGCAGACTATCACTCACCCACACCAGATGGAAAACTCTACAGACTGTCGGTTCTGTCTCTTATACACATCTAGATGTGTATAAGAGACAGGTATATATCTATACATTGTCACATAACTACGAACTAAAAGAGCGCACTTTGCGAAACAAACGACAAAAATAAAAATGAAAAAAAACAAGCAAACATGAAGGGCACACTGAAACCATTCATTTTTCTCATTCTTCTTTTGACTCCCCTTTCACCGTGCCTCTCCGTACAAGGCTCGCCACGTCGATGAAGTTGAGCGTGAGCTGGCCCCATCCCCGTGTGCCATAACAGCCCACTTGTACGCTGTGAGAAAGAGGCAGAGTGAAGGGGGAGGGGATAAACACAGGGAGGAGAGACGGAGAGCAGACAAACAAAGAACGATAAAGAGAAAGTAAGGGAAAGTATGGAGTGTGGAGTGAAGATGAAGGCAACAGAGGATAAGAAGAGACTCGAGAATGAGTCTGTCCTCGACGACAGAGAGGACATACACTGTAAGGATGAGGTGGATGAACACATGGAAGACCTA